GGGTAAATAATTCTGAGAATACTTTGATCCTTTTTAGGTGATTTTGCTCCGCTTTCTTCAAGTTAGGGGCTGATGGCGCCACGCCCCCAGCTTCTTAAGTTAGGGAATTGTGAGCTTCTTAAGTTAGGGAATTGTGCTAGACCAATGCTACAAGCTTTTGGATCCAATTGAATCTTCGTAAAATTGATCATTATGAGTGCTACGATCGTAAAATTGATCATTATGAGTGTTACGATTGATGTGGTAGGCAGGTCCAGTCGATCATTGTGAGTGTTATGATTCATTCGGTTGGCAAGTCCAATCGATTCATAGCCTCTCGGTCAAATATTAGAGTTGGCAATCATGGCATTGAACCCAAACTCAAAAGCATTATCCTCCCTATGAACTAATTGCACATGAATAAACCCAACAATCCTACTTATGCATGAACATGGAAATGCAAGAACAAGGATGTGAAATGTATTTACTTTTCCAAGAGATGCCCCTTCCAAAGCCAACAAGTGTTACCTAAGCTTTAATCTAAAAGTGAAGGTTTTTGAACACTCTTATTCATGTGTTTCATTGATGAGAAGATAGTTCTTAATAAAAGTTAAGTAGGAAAATTGTAATTTCGAAAATAGTATATGTATAATATAGGAAAATTTCTTCATGTAAAGAAAATGAAGTCGAAGCAATCTTCTTGCATATGTTTTTTGTATACGTTATATGTTGAATTCTATACGAATTTCTGAATGGAACAATTCTTACACATCGGCTAGATTATGGAAAGATGGATGAAGTACTGCCTATTTGAAGGTTGCTGAAACTAATATTGAAGAGGATACATCGCACCCATTGAGGTACAACCTTCTTCGGATTTTGTGTAAATACGGGATACTTTGTGCATCGAGTTTCCCCAAATATCTTTAAAATAAAATATTAAAAAATTAATCAAACTTAATTGATATAGAAGAAAATCAGAGACTACTCAAGCCGTCTAATTTAGTTACACGCAAGAAATTAACCAAAAGCTCGAAAATTTTCTTTTAAATTAAAACAAAATAACCGATGGGATAACGATTTTTCAATATCCGATTTCAAAATATGAAGTGAATATGTGATGCTCGACTTTATAGAGCATTTAGTGGCTATGGTATCAGATGAAAAGAAAATCCAAACAATCTATTTCCATAATTTTTCACGGTAGCATTATAGCAACAAGATCTTTTACTTCTCAAATCGTCAAGTACTTCTTTCAAATGGTGATGAGGAAGCATAAGAAGTATTCCCTCCTTTTCAATTTATTTGAACCTATCTAGAGTACGAGGGCCAAATATTAATTTTTGGTGTAAAATCGGACATACATTCTTGAAATTTTTTGAAAATAAAATTTATATGTTTAGAAATCACATAAAAAGTATTATAAGCTACATAGTTAATAATTCAAAATATTTAAACTACTTGCAAAAAAAATGATCAAAGAAAATCTTGAAACGAGGGGAGTATAAGTTAAAAGTCTATTGTGGAAATAAGAATTACTAATATAAGAAGTGTATAACGTTCAAAGAAATGGGGATGTAGCTCAAATGGTAGAGCGCTCGCTTTGCATGCGAGAGGCACGGGGTTCGATCCCCCGCATCTCCATTTTTTTACTTTAATGATTTAATATTTGGGCTAAATGAATAAATCTGAATCATTTGTATATTAACAAATAAAAAATTGTCTTGTTATATACAATTGGTAACATTCTGCGGAAAAGAGAAGCATCTTCTTCACTTGAATTAAGACATTGTAACTGAAAGCAAGATTTGGAGATGGTATAGAGTTGTTTAACATTAATCTAAGCCTAATACTGAACGGCTACAATCGTACGTTTACAAGAATTATAAGTAGGGGCAGATCTATAGTATTAAGTGTGATTCACACGAATCCAATAATTTTTGCGCATATTCTATATTTGTATTAAAAAATTCACTAAATTTATTCTAATAGTTAGCTCGGAATACTAATTCGTTGATTGATTATTATCGTATATTAACTTGAGATTTCAATAAAAACCCAAAAACTTCAAATTGTAAATATGTCTCATATTATTGGGTACATCATACATGGCTGGGCTAAGCCTCAATTTAAACTAACTAGATTAGACATTTTTTTACCTACACATAAACTACTAGTTCATATATTCGAATTTCCAAGAATATTTTCTTGATTTTTCCCTTAAAAGTAGATCAATATACAATTTCACAACATCTTTTAGGATTTAACTTGTATATGAGAGACAGAATACAACAACAACAATAACAACAACAACACAGTAAAATCATACTAATGGGGTCTTGGGAAGGTAGTGTGTACGCAGACCTTACCCCTACCCCAAAGGAGTAGAGAGGCTGTTTCCGAAAGACCCTCGGCTCAAGAAAACAAAAAGACAAAAGGACAAAAGGAGACAATATTAGTATCACCACAATAATCATAGGAAAAAAAGGAACACCATGAAATGCAGAAGAAAGATGTAGAGCAAAAGTGATAGCTAGTAAATAGGACATGCACTGAAAAGCGAAGTAGTAAAACACAACATAAAGATGAGAGACAGAATAAAGATACTTTTAACAATATTGGGTTATCTAATAGTCAATGCCATGTAATTTTTTATAATAAGTAATTGATTGATAATCTAAAATAAAATAACTTTTTATAAACAATTAAATAGTTTTAATACTGCAAAAAATCTTTATAGAGCACGTATATGAATTGGTAGGGCTAAAGGCTCGTGATATGTATTTATTAATTTAATTGGTATTTTTATTAAATCATTTTTACTAATTATGATATGAATATTTTCTAAACCTAATATCTAGTAATAATTTAATAAACATAGTAAATTTAAATTAATTATAACTTTTAATGTTTTAAAAAAATGCTACTTCTTTTAAGGAAGACCGTTGTTTCAGTTTTTATATACATTAAAAAAAATACTAAGATTTGTGGTAATTATTATAACACCATTGCCCTAATTTTATTCTAAGATTTATGGTAGGGTTGTTCAAAACCGAACCGAAACGGTTAACCGAACCGAAGGCTTATTGACTAACTGGTATCGAATTATCGAGGTAATGGATGGTGAACATATTAAGATTTTATAATTAACGGGTTAATGGTTTGGGGACGGATTACTCAATTTTCTTATCGGGTAAACCGTTAACCCGTTAAGAATTTTTATATTTACACGTTTACCCCTATGTATATAAAGTACTATTGAAACCCTAAATAGCTAAATCCCTAATCTCTATTTTTCTAATTGAGAAGTTGAAAAATCGAAATCTGAATGATTAATACGTGTATGTCTGTATGAGTAGTCTTGATGGTATTAAAAATTTGGTTAATACGTATATGACAATATGAATAGTCTTGAATACTCTTCAATTCAAAAATATTATTTGGTTAGATCTTAGGTGGTATTAAAATTTTGGTATTGATTTGAATACCAAGATTAAACAATTTTGTTTTATACCAATTAAACAATTTTGATACTATAAAAAATCTTTATAGAGCACGTATATGAACGGGTATGGCTAAAAACTCATTGATATGTAAAAGAGCTTATGTATAAAAGATTATTTTGTTAATTTAATTGCTATTCTTATTAAACTATTGTTACTAATTGTGATCTGTAAATTGTTTGTTTATTATGTAAGATAATATAATTATGGCCAATATTTTAGCTAATGGAATCCATCTCACATAAGCATAAACATCTTTGCAAAGTGTAGATTTTGTTGGCAATATTCTTTGGGACCCAAAAATATTGCATTATGTGGTGGACATCATTTGCACAAGTTGTATCTCTTCTTTTACACCTAAGAGGCCAAGACTTTTTTGCCTATAAAAGGGAAAGCCATTAGTTCATTTTAGACACACCAACAAGACTTGTCTTCAATTCTTGTTTCTTCCTTTCTTCCTTTCTTCCTTTATTAAGAGTGTTTTGTATGAGAGTTAGTGTTGGGAAGCACTTGTGTGAATCCTTTCTTTGGAATGATCTTGTGAGATTATTCTCTTAGGATATTTGGGATTAATTAGAGTGTTTACTCTAATTTTGTACTCTCTTTTGTACTCTTATTTTTATAGTAAACTGCTCATCTCCGCTTGTGGACGTAGGTAACTTTGACCGAACCACGTTAAATTTGAGTCTTCTTTATCTACTTTAATTGTCGTTGTTATCAACTTTTATTGTCTTTGTTATTGCCATTATACCGTTGTTTGGCTATATTCTGCTATACTGTTATTTGGCTATATTCTGCAATACCCGGGTTCCCGATCCTAAGAGATAATTTTAAAATCAAATACCTAATAATAATTTAATGAAATTATTACTCACTTATAGTCCGAATAAATATTATTTTCAATGTTTTTTTCCTTAAAAAAAATAACTAGGACCATAAGAGAACCATTTCTAAATAATTACCTACTTTTCGCAAAGGAACTTTATAAATAATTATAAGATTATTTTTACTAATTATGATCTGTAAATTGTTTGTTTATTATATATGAATAATTTTAAAATCAAATACTCAAAATAATTTTATAAAAAATAGTAGTAAATGTAATTATTGCTCACTTATAGTCAAAATAAATATTACTTTCAATGTTTTCAAAAAAGCGCTACTTCTTTTAAGGAAGACTGTTATTTCAGTTAATATATACATAAAAAAAAATAAAAAAGCAAAAATTATAAATGCTGAAAAAAGAGAACCATTTCTAAATAATTACGTACTTTTCCAAAAGGAAATTTATAAATGGCTGAAATTTATTTACCAAACGGTAACATCCAATATCTTCTCCCATAAGCTCACTACCGTCTAACGGCTACTTAAAAAAAAGCCTTTAAACTAATATCAACCGTCCGATCATTTCCCATCTAACGCTCCTGATTCAAAACGCCAAAGAATATGACCGTTAAAGTCAAAAGCGCTCCTTTTCGCCCAATTTTGCCCCATATAAAAACCCTAATAGTATCACCAAAATTCTCTCTTTCACTCACAAATATCTGAAGAAAAACTCAAAAGAAAGAAAATTTTACGAAGAAGAAGAAGAAGAGAAATAGTGGCGACTCAGGATAGTGAAAGAGGAGGAGAGGCGGGTAACGGTCGTCTCCAATCGTTTATTTCATCGATATTTGCGAGTATAGGTGGTGTTTTTAGTCAGTATAATAATCAAGAACAAGAAGAAGATCTTCAAATGGATAACAATAGTGTTGGTGTTCCTCACAATTTACCCAGAGGTTAGAATCAATTTCTGCTTTTTTTTTAACTGAATTTTAATTAAATTTCCTTTTCTGACAAGGTAAAAATATATCCTTTTGTGTATGCTTTTAACCGAATCTCATTTGGTTTTTATTTTTTCTTATCTGACAGAAAATATTTTTTTGTGTGTGTGCTTATAGTGGATTTCTTGAAATTTTTTTGGTATTGTTTTCCTATTTTTGACTGAATTTTAATTGCAGTTCATTTGGGGTTTATTCTTTTCTGACAAAAGAAAATGATCTTCTAAAGTGTGTGCTTATTGTGGGTATCTAGGAATATTTAGTATTGTTAGTTTCAACTGAATCTCTGCTATTTTTTCAAGCTTGATGTAAGTTTTGATTTTTTTTTTATTTTGTGCTTACAATGTTTTTTTCTTTTTGGAATTATTTAGTATTGTTACATTCTTTTTTTTCCTTCCAATTTTTGACTGAATTTCAATTGAATCTCATTTGGATATTTCCTTTTTTAGACAAAAAAAAACCTACAAGTAATTGTTTTGTGTGTTTGTGCTTGTAGTGGGTTNTGGGGGGTGGGGGTATGCTGAATTTATCTTTTGTTGTGTGTGCTTATAGTGGGGTATATTTTCCAGTGCTGGAAAAGATATAGAGAGTGGATTGAAAATTAGTTTATGGAACTTTCTGCTAATGAGAATCAATTACATAGCTGACCTTAACTGATATGGAATTGAGGCTTAATTGGTTGACTAATTTGAAATATTGAAATTCTTTATCCTTTGTCTCATGAGAATTCTATTGCATCTGTAGGAGAAATGGGAGGAAAACAGAAAAATGCACAAGCCGATGGAAGAAATAGGCGTGCTCTCGGAGACATTGGCAACCTTGTGCCTGCTCCTGCTGCAGAAGGAAAGCCTAAAGCAGCTCAGATTTCTCGCCCTGTGACTAGGTAAATAGGCGTAATAGTAGTTGTTTTTGTATTGTCTTTGGTTTCAAATATCTGTCTTTCTGTAACTCCTATCTTTTTTTTCAGGAGCTTTTGTGCACAGTTGCTAGCTAATGCACAAGAAGAGAAGAACAAGGTGGAAATTTGCCTAAACAATTGAATTGTAAATGGTTTTATGAAACTTGCAAGATTCTTGAAATGGTGGATATAATTTATTTTTATTATTTTGTAGAAACCACTAGCAGAAGTTGTCAATAAAGATGTACCAGCCAAGAAGAAGGCATCAGATAAGGAAATGAAGACTGTTGGGGGAAGTCCATTGAGCAAAAGAAAAGCAAAGAAGTCTGGAAAGACTCTCACTTCTACTCTCACTGCTAGAAGCAAGGTTATATACATTTACATTTTCTCTCTTTAGATCAATAGTACTCTGTGTAGTAGTATCAAGATTTTGATAAAATTGGTTTCTTTCTCAGGCTGCTTGTGGACTTTCCAATAGACCAAAGTATGAGATTGAGGACATCGATGTCGCTGATGCTGATAATCATTTGGCTGCTGTAGAGTATGTTGAGGATATCTACAACTTCTACAAGCTCACTGAGGTATATTTGTGAATCTCATTCTCTTGTTCTATTTCTGTTTAGAATCTCATATGCTCTATGATTGTATGATCCAGGGTGAAAGTCGAGTGGATGACGACTACATGAACTTTCAACCAGACCTGAATCATAAGATGAGAGCCATTTTAGTGGACTGGTTAATAGAAGTTCACAGGAAATTTGAGCTTATGCCTGAGAGCCTTTACCTTACAATTACCATACTGGACCGTTTCCTCTCGCTGAAGACGGTTCCAAGGAAGGAACTTCAGTTAGTTGGCATTAGCTCAATGCTAATTGCTTGCAAGTATGAAGAGATTTGGGCACCAGAGGTATACATATATGTCCTTTCAGATTTGCCCTTTATATCTATTATTAGTCTGTTGTGTGCATATGTAAATCAGATTTTATTTTCTTGATTTTTGCAGGTGAATGATTTCATTCATATATCAGACAATGCATATGCCAGAGAGCAAATACTTCAGATGGAGAAAGCAATTCTTGGGAAGTTGGAATGGTATTTGACAGTTCCAACACCATATGTTTTTCTGGTTAGGTACATTAAAGCTGCAACACCATCTGATAATCAGGAGGTACTTTACTAATTCCATCTTTTGACATGAATTCTTGTTTGGGATAATTACCTTATTGGGCCCCGCCCTCCATAAATAATAGCCGGCAAATCTATATGTTTCGTATATATACATATAATATATAAAATATACATACTATATACATATTATGTACATATTATTATATACATATTATGACATACATATTATGTACGTAATGGACACATATGTTTTGACATGAATTCTTGTTTTATCTCAAGTTGGCTAATAATATTTCTGTTGCTTGTTGTAGATGGAGAACATGACATTCTTTTTTGCTGAACTTGGTCTTATGAACTACAAGATCACAATATCATACCGCCCATCAATGCTAGCAGCATCGTCCGTTTATGCTGCTCGTAGCACTCTCAACAAAACTCCACTATGGACTCAAACTCTGCAGCACCATACTGGCTACTCAGAAGATCAGTTGATGTAATTTTCCTCAAGAACGAACTCATTTCAGTTTTAGTATCTTAGGTTGATATTATGTTTCTAGTCTCATGTGTTTAACTTTTTGTGTAACAGGGAATGTGCAAAGATATTGGTTAGTTATCACTTGGATGCTGCAGAAAGTAAGCTGAAAGCAATTTACAGGAAGTTTTCGAGTCCAGATAGAGGTGCTGTTGCATTCTTCCCACCAGCAAGAAATCTCCTACCTACTACTACTACTGATGCTGCTTCCTCCTCTTCTTGAAGAATTTTATTTTTTAGTTTGGGAAGCTTTTTGGGATCATTTTACTGCTGTGATCTCTCTAGCTTAGACTAAGTAGTGGTGTGATAGTGTGATTTGATTTTGGAGTGTGAAACTTTTGTATGGTTGATGATGATTTTACCTACTAGTGAAGTCATGTAAATCCAGAATATATATTTTTTTGTGAATATAACTAGTTCATTCTTTTTTTCTGAATGTGTCGATACTCCATTTACTTTCTTTATATTAATTCTGTTCAGTCATTGTTTCTAGGGGGTGTCCATTTACTTTCTTTATATTAATTCTGTTCAGTCATTGTTTCTAGGGGGTGTCCATTTACTTTCTTTATATTAATTCTGTTCAGTCATTGTTTCTAGGGGGGTGTCTGTTCAGTCACTGTGTCAATACTCCATTTACTTTCTTTTTTCTGAATGATACATTTGTTATGAATAGATGTAACAAAAATCTGTTACATAAGAATTTGTCAGTTCCGTTTGCATATATAGAAGAAATTGTCAGTTCGTCAATTGGAAACTTCATCGGATGCATATATAGAAGAAAAGGAAGGGTTTGAACTTCTATTCCATATGCAAGAAAAAAAGACGGAGAGACATAAAGAACAAAGAACATATTATTTATGAACATATCCCAAAAAACAAAGATTAGCAATTTTCAATAGAACTTATTTTTGACAAGAGTGGGTGTGGCTCTAGTGGTGAGCACCCTCCACTTCCAACCAAATGTCACAAGTTTGAGTACCCCCAAGGAGTTCTTGGAAGGAGGGAGCCGGGGTTATATCGGAAACAGTCTCTCCACCCCAGGGTAAGGGTGCGTAGCATACCTTCCCCAGACCTCGTTAGTGGTATTATACTGGGTTGTTGTTGTTGCAGAGCTTCAATTCTCCCCTACTTAATAATATACGTTCGTTTCAGTTAGACTCGTGTTGGAGATATATAAGTGTTATAAAAGAAATATACGTTCGTTTCAGTCGTTGTTCGATGGCAACTTCTTGGGTTTTTCTCTGTTATTCTGTTCTGGGCGGCATGGTCTAATATAAGTCAACTGACTCACATGAAACATAGAGTTAGTTTGCATCGGTCACTTGAGACAACGGCCATGGCTAGCACCCATGGAAGTATATATATCTTGAATCCAAGACAAAGGAGTTTTCAGAATTTCATTTTTTTTTTATCATAATGCCAACAAGAATTTGGTTCTTTTTACGAACAAGATGTCGACAAATCTGCGAATCTAGAAATTCATTTTGGCCAATTCAACCTTCTCGAACTGTTTGTTTTTAAAAGCCAAAAAGAATTGTGCCAAAATAACAAATGCTAAAAAGAACAAAAGTCCTTGGACACGCAATGGATCTTGAAGTACCATTTCTGCATCTCCCTGACCAAATCCGCCTACATTAGGATTACTCGTTAATGGTTGATCAAATTTGATAGATTCGCCTTCGGAAACAAGAAGTTCTGGTCCAGGAGGGATAATACCAACCACTTGACGTCCATCCGACGCATCCCTTATGGTTATCTCATATCCACCTTTTTCTTTTCGTGGCAGTAAACAAAGAAATAGATCAAAGATTTTCTCGTAACTTGTCAGAAAACAGAAAATTCCAACAAGGAATATTATGTGACGCTATTAATTTTCCTTCTCTGGTGCATATTGTCCAAGTAGGAAGTAAACTTTGCCAAGTATATACAAAGATACTTCAGTAACCTATTAACAACATAACTCATTGGAAAATTCAGAGTCATATTTTAGTGGGAACACGAACAACCATGTTCTTGGACACCACTCGAAGCCAACTTGTAACTGCGTTCCCAAGTATCTGTTGGAGCAGCTTGCGCGTGAGGAACGTGACGAGGATGTTTCTCTCTTTTGTCACCCCTTACCTGTTTCAGCGCATGCTTAAGGGAAGGCAGCAAAGCTTCCATGCATTCTGCAACTGCATTTGGATTGCCTGGCATATTGATGATCTGAGAACATTGTGAAACATACACACAGGCAAAATTTCAGGTTCAGAATTTGACATAAATTTATAAGAGGGTCAAATAACATGGAACAGCAGTCAGAAGAGCACAATAGCCGTCCACCAAATCGCTTAAACTAAAAATAGCCGGCAGATGTATAATATACGTATAATTCATGTATAACTGTAGAACATGTGTATAGTCTATGTACACCGGAGAGCAAAAGTAAACAGTGAATTTGACCGACTATTTGCGTAAAAATCCCAAATTTAAGAGGGTCAATCACTTCGATTTTGTACATGTACCCTTTCAACATAATGCAGGTCGCACTTGGCTCTAAGAAAGAAAAGAGTGGCTGTACTTCACAGATTGAACAGCTTCCCTATTTCTAATAGAGAAGACAAGAGTTTCCCAATGCCTAACTAAATCTGAATCCTCTACTTGGCTATCCAGTAGCTAGGTCTACTTATGATTGCCACTGGTTCGGATAAGTCGAGTGATTTAAGAACATGAGACAAAAAAGTGGTAGGAAGGAGATTGGGAAAGCAGAAGCAGGAATATGACGTTGATTACTAGAAAGAAAACAACAGCAACTATGCCTAAATCGCAAGCTAGTCGGAGCCGGCAACCTAGGAAGAGAACCTGCAAAATATCCCTTTTCTCTAAATATGTCAAGCCATCTTTTATGGATCACATATAAAGAAATCCATCAAAACTCAACACCCACTTTAAGTATTCCCTTTCTTGTAAAGTTTGAAACATGTGTAAATCTTAGGAGATTTTACCATTGCAGCAGAAGTAGCTATTTTCTGGAAATTTTGCTAATTCCATGAGCAATCAATTGTCAACTGCCAGCTAATTAGCTACCTTCTGCAGTTAACTAGGTGATTCGGAGGAATTTTAGATGACAAAACAAACAAGTCGCTAGGCGCAATGGATTTAAAATTACATTGAAGATCTTCATGATTCTTTTTCCCATTTTTTTCAATTATGGAAGTGTAATAGAAGATCAGCCTGTTGCCGCAGGCAAAACATCGTATACCTAAAACATAAATGTACAGGAAAACCAACGGACAAGCAAACAATAGAAATAATCATTGGATTAGGGAGAGAAAATGTATGATTGATGGCAATACCAACCATAGTTCTAAAACTCAACACTCGGATTCGACTTGCTAAAGAAGTTCATTATTCAACAAAATGAAAGACTAAGCATAGTTTTAAAACTCAACACTCAGATTCGAGTTGTTAAGGAAAGGAGTTCAGTAAATTGGAAGACTAAGAATGCAAATACAGAACCAGAAATGCCTTACCTTTGTGTTACTCAAGGAAACAATTTTAGGTTAAGCTTATCAACCATATGAGGGAACTTTGGGCTAACTTGTGTTGGTGTGTTTTGTGGTGCATGATAATAAAGATGCATTAGTTTGGACTTGTGGCCTTACCAATGTTGATCCTCTTATTCCAGCTGCTGCACGTGAGAGCATTGCAGAAGGCGTTACCTGTGTGAAGTCAGATGCATCATGAAATTAGAAGAAATTCAAATATTTTTCTAGGTCAGGGAAAAAATTTATAGCTGCCTTGCGTAAGCATGCGAAATGTTCAACCATCGGAGAAGGGCTAACAGAGATATATAGAAATCCTGAGGAAGATTAAATATCTGATGTTATCTAACGAAGGTCACGTCATTAGTTGTTTGATAATACACATCCCTCGTTGCTTTTATACAAGAAGGCCACCAGAAAGGCAGACAGAAAAATTCACTTGCTTAACTTGAATTCTCTACGTTCATTTTTATACTTGAGGAAAAGAGTCAACTTCAAAGCTTGAGATACTTTTCGTGGTGGGTGGGGTGCAGTTTGGGATACAGCTCTTTTTGGGCTAGAACAGAGTCAGCTTCAAAGCTTGCTCCTTCTCCCTTTTATTTCATTTATATACTTTTTTGGATAACAGTTGTGTCTGGGCCAGCTTACAGACACCTCGACTATCCACCGGATAACTCTGTCTATCAAAGTTAGGCAGACAGGAAAAATTCAACTAAGTACTTGGTCTGTTGTTGTCTCCCTACAACGTCATAGAATGTCTTCTTATCCTAATCTTTTACTTGTAAAGTAAATTATCTTCTTTTCAGAAGTGGTAACAAACGACAAAGATCTTGTGACATGAGCATGTGGTTGTGCACCTAGTTCTATCTTTTCGTTGTTTTTCAACACCCCCATAGTTTCGGCAATGAACTAGGTGAAGATTATACAGACAAGGGTGTATAAACTATCTGCCAAATTTTACCACATTTAATACATATGCAATTGAATAAAATGCCCATGGAATAACAGTGATGAGAACTTTGATACCTTCAAACTTTCTCGCATCATAACATAGAGAAGACCAGGTGTTTCTTTCTGTATCATACTTTTGGTAGCTTCAGGGGTAACATCCCTTGGCGTACAGCCGGTCCCACCTGACTCATCCAGTAAGAGTAATTTATAAAAAAATATTATCAGCTAGGCAAAGAAATGGGACCATGACCATAATAACTTAGGAGCATACCAAGGGTAAGAATAAGATCCACTTTGTCAACGTCACTCCACTTCTGCAACATGTCTTTGATCTTTTGCTCATCATCTGGCACAACAGCTGTTGCAACTATACTTGTCCCTCCAAGCCTTTCTGACAATGAATTGACGACAGAAACTGCCCTTGGACCACTGCGAGATCATATAGCATAAAGAAACTCAAACCAGTTGATAATCAAGGAAGGGGAGCCTTTCTAATGGGTTCTAACATATTACGGGAGCAAGAAAATATCAAGCAGCCATGTAAATTTATCCAAGGTGAAAACTGTGAAGAGTCCCATATCGGTGCTTAAAGGGATGAGTGGTCTCCTTAGGCTTGGGCAATCCTCACCTCTTGAGCTAGCTTTTGGGTTGAGATAGGCCCAAGATCTATTTCTTTACATGGTATCAGAGTTGCACTCATCCCAATTCTCGTTTCCCGATGTCGGGCCCCCATATTAAATTCCCACGCTCCAGATGTCCATCCCTGGGCGTGAGGGGTGTCGTGTGTTAAGAGTCCTACATCGGCGCTTTAAGGGATGAATGATCCCCTTAGTATGGCTTGAGCAATCCTCACCTCTTGAGCTAGCTTTTGGGATTGAGCTAGGCCCAAGATCCATTTCTTTAACAAAAAATAATGTTAATGCATAGAAAGGAATCAGCCTATGGAAGGGGACCTT